TTAAAATGTTATTAATTCTTTCCACTTACAGGATACGTCGCCAAAGTTTTAGTAAAACTGCAATAAAAAAAAATACGGAAAGGAAACGATGACACATTAAAGTCCAATCGTGTCTCGAACCTGTTTTGTAAATCCCATACTTGTAAGCCCACCGTGCAAGGTAGAAAGGCTGTTATGATTCATACATACTTGTACATTCAGGCACAGGTTTTTGGGACAAGAAAAAAATGAGAGAGAGCCTTACAGCAGTCACATAGCATGTGCAACATCTGACATCTAGCACCCTGCTCATTAGTCAAATGGGGGGGCATGGCAGTGCCCCCGCCAAGACTTGCCAAGCGAAGCCCAAGAGCAGTACCTACCTTTTCTTGGGACTTGGGTTTCGTTGTCAATAGTAGACTTATTAAACCTACAAAGTTTCAATTGCATAGCTCTTATACTTTAGACTTGGATATCTAAAAATAAAAAACTGATTTCGTCACTGTCTCACTGATGATCATCAAAATTCCTAAGGTACTTGCTGAAGTTCTAGAAGGCTCAAATTTGGTAGCTAAGCTAGTATTACGACACATACAACAACGAAATTCTAAAACTTGGATATTTTACCCCTCCAACCCCTTAAACTAGAGGATGGAAGTTTGTTTGAGACTTCGCAAATTTTGATTGCTGTATTGGTCAATAAAGTATTAAAAATTTGACAATAATTAATATACTTGCTCTATCTCAGGAATTACTGGTTCGAATTGAAAAAAAAATGATGGATCGTCTATTTATCAAGGTAGGCTATAGGCTATATAAGATCAAGATACGACCAATAGGAGTCGAGCGTCAATGAAAAGTGTTGCAAAAACACAGGGAAGATTTATTCCTTTCGAGAGACGGGGATGAAGTTCCGCAGGTCAGCTAGTATATTTTATTTATGTAAATAATGAATAATTTATAGTTAAACAAGAAACCGAGTGCGCTTTAGACCAAACGACTGAAGCAAAACTTCTTGACTATGAGAGAAAGAGAGAAAGAAACCTGATGGAAAGCAACTGTCGCCGTCTATGAACGCCTGCAACTCAGGAGTCGAAAAAAGTACAAAAAACTTGCTCTATAGCAACATAAGGTTTTAATTCATGAAGGCGTAAAAATAACAGCAACTGTTATTTAATTAAGTTTTTAACCTTTCACCGCTGTAATGCGGAAACGTTGCGCCTCCATGCTGGTGCGTTTGCGCTCCTCCTCCAACCGCATCCTGAATGTTTTTTCAGATAGATGGGACTCTGCCCTTATTCAGCGGTGGATTTCCATTCACGTAAAATAAAAAAAATATAATAAACGAATAAATATAATTCAATACTAACACTAGTTTTTAAAACACATTGTTACTAACACTATATGGATGTAATAGTCCGAAATAAATAATTTGAATTGAAAAATCACCGCGGGTACGAGATCCTCTTAAAAGCCTTTGAAGGTCTCAGGATGCTTTTGTGATTAACTAGACACAGACTGCGTTATCTGCACGAATAATAGAGCCATTTGCAATTTAATTAGCCTACCACCAAAATATCGACTTTCTTAAATTCATCATCATCATCACCAGCAGCCTTTATTATTCCGCTGATGGACATAGGCCGCTCCTTAGAAAGGAGTATTTGGTATTGCCGTGAAGAAATAACATTCCAATAAAAAAAAACAACTACAACGCTGACCAGACGGATTGGTATAGGGTTTGTGTCAAGTTTTTCTTTTCTTTGCAGTTTTATTGTCCTACGTAGTTTGCTCCTTTAGTCGTTCGGGATGAATAGGGGTGGTGACACTCTGTATTCTTAATCTGTCACCACACGTATAGATTGGTTGATCACTGTAAATAAACTATTTTATTCATCATCCATCACCTTCTTGCCATTTTGCCTCTATTTTAGGTTCGGCGCTCTGCCTAATGGTCCCGTCAACATTTATTTTACTTTATAGACAAAGTTGCGTTACACAACTTGGTTTATTACAGAAAAGCGTGGGAGGGATCACTCCCTATCGATAAAAGTTCCTTGCCCTTTAATGTATTTTAACTAATATTTAATTTTTTTGATTGCTCTTGTATTGAAATCATAGAAACATACGAGTACAGTACCTATTGTATATTTGCTTGATAACACCGATAGTTGTAATTTGTCAACGTTGTGTAAACTTTGAACTCCACAATCTGTTGTTTGAACTTGTTTATGAACAAAAACATGTTCAATGATGTCATTTGAACATACTTAGTATTTGTTAAAAAAATATTTTGTCGTTATGAGATAAACAATAATATTTAATATTTTACATACGTTCCATACTATACAGAGCCTGTGCTATAGTAACTAGACTGCTGATAAACATATATTTCTAAATATATACATATGATATAAAAATTACATCCAGACACAGAACAAATGACCGTGCTCATTACAAAATTATTTGTCCTGGTTGGGAATCGAACCCACAACCTCTGGCGCAGCAGTCAGTAAATATCCACTTATGTATAAAAACTATATTTATATTTTTAAAGGCAATTCCCGCACTATTAATATATCCTGTATGGACTTTACAAACATACATGAAACGAACACAAAGAACACCCAGACCCAGAACAACAATTTGTGGATCACACAAAGTGTTTTCCCACGTGGGGATTGAACCCACAACACTAAGCGTAATAGGAAGCGGCGAGACGACCGCTTAAACCACAACGCCATCCATCAAAATAAATATAGGTTTATAGTAAATTATTTTTGGCTCTTATGTTATTTCTATGTATGTTGGCCGAATTCTTGGCAAGGAAGCTGCAACAGCGGCCTAAGCGTTTGGACCTACTAGTTCAGGCATTAGTTTTAACGAATAGGTTTACATTATAAAATAGTATTGTTCTTTACAATAAACTGTTTTAAAGAAAAACCGGAAAGCCATGTAATTCGGCATGAAGTGTCACTACTTACACTACACTACTGTTAGATGAATTCACTACTTATTATTTTTTTCCCTCTTTTTTGAGTCGTATATAATCATCGAAAAATAAAATAATAATAAAATCGATCAAGTGGCATGCAATGGGAGAGGTCTATGTCCAGCAGTGGACTGCGATAGGCTGATGATGATATAATCATAAACAGCCTTTACTAGTCCACTGCTGGATATATATATATATATATATATGTATATAACCTTATATATATAACCTTACAAGACGTAGCGGATTAAAGCCCTTTTTTTTTTTTTTGTTGACGGGGTGGAAAATCCCTTCGGATCTCCTGCTCCTCGGGGCTAGGCGCTAGGAGTATGTGGTGATTCCACTAAAAACCACCCCGACGGCCGGCCTCAAGTGCCCTACACTGGGAGGACCCGGACCATGTTATTTCAGGTCCTCTCCGAATTGACACCATGCCTAGTCAGGCCCTATCCCAGGGGAAGCGGATTAAAGCCCTAGTAGTGAAATTATGTACATTTGTGAAGTCCAGTTTTTTTTATATAACCTAACAGCAAAAACCGCACTCGACGTTAAATTCCGGTATTTCGTTATTGAATATTTTATTTATTTAATGATACTAATAAAAACTAGTGTTATTAAATATCAGAAACATACTAAATCGCTACAATATATATATTTTTATTAGATTCTAGATGTATACTAATCATAGTAAGAAGCGTGTGTTTCCACGACACAGGATATAATACCTAGTGCGGGAGTTGTCTTAAAACAATACCTTCATTTCCCCATTCAAGTAATAGGGGGTGAGCGTAGAGGCGTCAACAGACACTTTAAAAAATTAGGAGTATTTTAAGAGGTAAATGGAGTATATGAAAGGAAGGAAATGGTAAAAAAGAGATATTGTTTAGACAGATGGACAGAGAATGTAGGCAATTGCTATAACAGGTTAAAGTTGCATTGTGTATCTCGGATTGGTCGGAAACTGGAAAGAGCAATGTATCATCATCAGCCTTTAACAGTCCACTGCTGGACATAAGCCTCTCCTTAGAAAGGAGGTTAAGCAATGTATCAAGGTCACATTATTTCAATGATAGGATACGACCTTAACTTAACCCAGGTACAGTATCGATCATGTAGTGGAAGACTGGATCATGGACACCACCTCCGTCTTCCAGCTGAAGATTATATTTGTTGATCTGCGTATCCTAAATATCAGTCTTTTAAGGAAAATAAAAATATCAACATTCATTTATATTAAACAACTTAGACCTTAAATTCTGTCAGACGCACTGAAGCCCACAAAAATAAAAACTTACATTTTAGAAGCGAGCCTTAGTTTTGTTATTGTCTTTTGGAAGAGAACCCGTTTCTTATACAGTACACTGCGGTAGTTTTACCTCTGGCTGCATAGGACTATGTATATTACATATTTTTTTATGGTATAAGGGGGCAAACGAGCAGACGGGTCATGTGATGGTGTGATGGCAGTTACCGCCCCCCATGGACACCTGCAACGCAAAAGTCACAAGTGCGTTGCTGCCCTTGGGAGTCCCTCCCGCTCAAGTTAGCGGATAGCTATATTACTTTTCTATTACAAAATCTTTTAAACAATCAGCTTTTTACCGTTGTTAATCCTGTCTAGAGAAACGTACGTACTTAATTCAAACGGGATAGTAATTGTACGTAAAAGACGTCCCCAGTCCCGCAAATTATTCCCAGCGGAACTAATTATGGTTTAATCATTGTTAAGATACTGTGTGTCGTAATTATCCTTTAACTGAGTTCTCCATAATATAGCCGTTTGGTATTTATTGTGGTAGATCTTTACCATAGTGACATTTATTACGAGTTACCGTATTACTACGAACTCACTAGTATGAGAGAGTAATCCCACTTTAAAATTATTTTTATAATATGTATGTAAGACAGCAGTCTAGATCTATTGTACTTTGGTCGTGTTTTATGGTTAGCCGGTACCAGGGTAATCGTAGTTTGCTGCTTGTTAATACGAGTATGTTTATATAAGCTGTTTATCTCTTTGTTTCAGCGAGTTGAAGAAACTCTCAGAAGAGAGCTTGACGCGACAGCCCGAGGAAGTATTTGATATCATCTGTAAGCTCGGAGAAGGGTCATATGGAAGTGTTTATAAGGTCAGAAATGTTATTTTGTAATTATACAGTTGTGTGACTGTGGAAAGTCTATCGACTGTCCTTTTGTTCGATATTTTATAATTATATTACGGTAATTCATGTAACTTGGTACAGAATAGGAATAAAAACTGCCTGATGAGGTGCGGCGAAACACATTTAAAGGAATCATTCTGTTTCCTTCTTCTAAACACAGAGCAATGTATTTTTTCTAAATACGCTACAAATTTAAAAATCCTTCTTACCCTGACAACACGTTATACAGCCGGTAATTTGGATTTTCAGTCATAGTAAATGCCTTTTAGGATGATGTATCATCATCATCATCACATCAACAGCCTTTAATAGTCCACTGCTGGACATAGGCCTCTCTTTAGAAAAGAGGTTTTGGCCTACTATACTACGCTGGCAAGACGGGTTGGTATAGGGTTTGTTTCAAGTTTTCCTTCTCTTTGCAGTATTGTTCTCCTGCGTAGTTTGCTCCCTTAGTCGGCTCTTACGACACCCACGGGATGAATAGGGGTGGTGACACTCCGTATTTTTAATCGGTCACCACACGGAATCCATTTCCGTGTGGTGACGGATTAAGAATACGAATGAAGTATAGATTCTTAGAAAATACAGTGAAATAAATAAACTCACAAAAATGAATTCATTACACTCCTTGGCTACAAATAGTGTTTAACAGTATTGTATGTCTGTCATATAACAAACAGCGAACCTGTGATGGACACTGGATTTGCCTACTACAGCTGCATGTGTTTTTGGCAATGACAATCCCTCAAAATGATAAAATGTAGACTTGCAACGAATATTCGGTTACTATTCGATATTCGGCCTATTCGGCTGCTTTTATTATATTCAGCCGAATACCGAATATCTACATATTATTCGGCCGAATACCGAATACTTAAATAATATATTTTGTCATTGAGAAATAATTGGTAAAATGAAAAATTAAAATCGATTGATTACGTATATATTCATATTTTCATTACTGTTATAATCATTTAAGTAGTCATTGGTGCATAACACAGGTACATAATCATCTTCTGAATAGAAAAAATGGAGGATTCTATGTATTTGAATATGTGTGGTAATCAAAATTTAGAAGGGTAAGGTTCTCATTTCTTTTATAATCATTTATTAAGTAGTCATTGGTACATAAAACAGGTACATAATTTAATTCACGTCTGTACAAGTTTTTGGCGCTAAAATCCAGCCGAATACTTTTGCCTAATATTCGGCTATTCGGTCAGGGGCCTCGCCGAATATTCGGTATTCGGTATACTGCCGAATATACTATTCGTTGCAAGTCTAATAAAATGTTATTTAAATATTTGTTAATTCCAGGCGTTACACAAAGAGAGCGGACAAGTGCTCGCGATTAAGCAGGTGCCAGTGGACACCGATTTGCAGGAGATCATAAAGGAAATATCTATTATGCAGCAGTGTGACAGTCCGTATGTCGTCAAGTATTACGGCAGTTACTTCAAGAACACAGACTTATGGGTGAGTTAGGACAATGCTTCTTTCTCAAATTTTCTTTAGGTTTTAGCTGTTATTTTTTGAGACCGTCTCCCCCCTTTTACCATCGCACCATACCACCTATCGCACCCGGATGCCACCCGGTGGCATGTCAGACTCGAACCGACTAAAACCGCACGCCGTCTCGGGTACTAATAGCCGGGGAACCAGGTATACCCTAGAAAGGAAGTCCCTGGTGCCCCGACATACCTCGGGCCATCTACAACAAGTAGACGACCCTTCGCGTGTGGGAACCCCATGTTCCCTGTGCTCCCTGGAAGCGTTGCGAAGCGCGCTCGCCGCCACCCCGGCCTGCTTCTGTTAGGGTGACAGATGGCCTCACCTGTCACCCCCAGGCCTGCGCTTATGGAGGACGGAGGTCGTTCTGCGACCTCCGGCGCCTGAGCTGCCTGCGGTACCTGGCCCATTCCCGGGCCTGGCGGGCCGGGAGAGTTCTAAACCTCTCCCGGTCCCGCTCCGCCGTCTCTTTCGCGAGCATAACTTGCTCGCAGAAGGAGACGGCAGAGTTCCACGCACTCTCGCTCCGCACGATAGCCGTAATCAGGCTATCGAGCGAGAGAACTCCCACCCCGATGGCCGCCACGAGGTCTCGCCACTGCCGGGCACTCTGACAGCGTGTGGAGAGCCGTTTCCACGGTCTGGCCAACGCAGTGTGAGACCGTCCCCTTGCCTGCAGCCAACTATTCTTGGTTTTGACTAGTTTTAACTTGGTTATTAAATTTGAACATAGGTGTTTATCAGTATTTATCTTTATGTAATTTTTCCCAGTACATTCTCTTAACTCCAAGCAAAGTCAGGAACACTCCATTACTTAAGCGTTGGTAACTCCAAGGCGTAAAAAAATCTTAAACATTATTAATGAATTTTCTATTTTATATTTCTTCTCTATTATCTTTACGAAGATCCTTGATAGACAACGATCTTCGTAAAGTGGGTCATCGGACCAACGACGGATGAAGCTTTTAATTGGATTAACTTCGTAAGGGCAAAGGATCGATGCAGTCGGCACTAATGCTTACGGGTGCTAGATACTATATAAGTATCTAGAAATACCTTTGAAATTAGGCGTAGGTATTATTTAGACTAATTTTGTGGAATAGTAGCTTTCTAACCTGTAATAAACATTCAATTTTTTGGGTCGAAGGTCTTCGTTCTTCTAGACGAATAAGTATATTTCAAATTTAAAAGACTGCGGGCGCTCGTAGCGTGATAAGAACACGCCTGCGGTCCCTGTTCTCGTCCTACCTCCGCGCCCCTGTACCCGTTCTCGTCCTACCTCGGAGCCCTTGTATAGCGTGCTTTGAGTCCACGGGGTAAATGGTTTATTACCAAAAAGCATATAAGGGGTAATACTTCAGTGGCTCCCTTCATCCAAACTCTAAAGAGATTCGGTGTCTCTGTCTAACTGATCTCTATTTTGGTGAAAGGGGATAAGGCATGCAAGGCACGAGCCACATCGCGTTTATTAATATAAACGGGCGTGCCTGCCGAACTAAAAAAAAAAACGAAATATTTTGAAATGTTCCAGATCGTGATGGAATACTGTGGTGCTGGCTCAGTCTCGGATATCATAAGGCTACGTAAGAAGACGCTATCAGAAGATGAAATAGCGACAATCCTATGCGACACGCTCAAAGGTTTAGAATACCTGCACAGACGGCGGAAGATACACAGAGATATTAAAGCTGGGAACATACTGCTCAACAGTGAGGGGCATGCTAAGTTGGCGGATTTCGGAGTGGCGGGACAGTTGACGGTAAATATACTGAACGCTCATAGAGATATTTTGTACTTTTATGGTTTCCATTACAAAAGTCAATGTATTGTCTATCAGTCATTAAGAGATTGTCTCTTTGGGGAAGACGGTGGAGATTTCTTCTTGCTAGGACGTAGGAAGGCACCTATATCAGATTGTTTTATTTCTCCACGTATTCCTGGTATTCCAATTTAGCTATGGTACGGTGCAGACATAGTATAGGCCTAATTTTCTGCTACCTATTCTGAAAAAAGAAACTCTTTCTCTTCGTCTTTTGTTCTGTTACCAGCTAGAGTGCTTTTATGAAAATTAACCAGTGTAAATAAACTTTTTCCTTAGATAAGGCCAGCGGTAATAAAGACGGTTTAGCACTGGATGCTCCCAGGGTAATAGAGGGATCTGAGGCGTAAGTCGGGTTTGTGATCTGGGTCCAACAACACAGTTGGAAAAGTGTCCATTAAAATTGACCAAGCTCGCCCTTTAGTGGAACCAAATGATATAGCAGTCATCAACAGCCCTTACTAGTCCACTGCTGGACATAGGCCTCTCCTTTGAAAGGAGGCTTTGGCCTACTATACCACGCTGGCCAGACGGGTTGGTATAGGGTTTGTGTCAAGTTTTCGTTCACTTTGCAGTTTTGTTGTCCTGCGTAGTTAACTGCCTTAGTCGGCTCTTACGACACCCACGGGATGAATAGGGGTGGTGACACTCCGTATTCTTAAGTAAGGTAAGTAAGGTAAGGTAAGGCAAACCTTTCGATTTTCTTTTTGAAGTGAAAACTTCTTTACGCGTGTTGAGCATCTTTGCAGAACAAACAAAAGAATGTATTTTTTGAGATGGGGAAAAAATTAATGAACTCGCGACCCTGTTACCGTTACCGACACCTCTGTATATAAGTGTATATATTGACCCCGTTAACACGAGAGTTGAGTTTGGATTGAAATACATTGATAATATACACATATTATTATGTATATACGTACAACATAGATGTATATTCATGTCGGAACTTTTGGAATCGAAGAAAATAAAAGAAAACCTGTTATAATAAAAAAAAACAAGTTTTCACTTCTGTCGGCACTGCCGGAGTGCCACTTTTTGTTTATATGGAAGAGGGCAGAGAAGAGGTAAACGAGCAGACGGGTCACCTGATGGTAAGCGCCTACCGCCGCCCATAAACACTTGCAACTCAGGAGTCACAAGTTGCCGGCCTTTGAGGAAGGAGTACGCTCTTTTCTCGAAGGTCGTATCGGTCTGTTAAATACAAAATTAATTAATAAAAAGTTAAACATATCTTTAAAAAAATACAAATATTTTCCATCCTTATTGTTTGGATATTTATTTGAGACCCATTATTAAAAACATAAAAGAATTTTCAAGGTAAAAAATACCAAAAATACGAGGCCGAAGTTCTTTCTTTCTTTGAAATTGCTAAAAGTATATATTTCTTATTTGACGTAAAACGTTCCCAATTTCAGGACACAATGGCGAAACGAAACACGGTGATAGGCACGCCGTTCTGGATGGCCCCGGAAGTGATCCAGGAGATAGGGTACGACTGCGTGGCCGACATCTGGTCGCTCGGCATCACCGCCCTGGAGATGGCCGAGGGCAAACCCCCCTATGGTGACATACACCCTATGCGAGCCATATTCATGATACCTACTAAACCACCGCCTTCCTTCAGGTAATACACGTTACTTAGTATATACAATACCATGTACAGTTATTTTATTATATCTTAAAAACCATCTGGGCCTGATGATCTAGTGGTTAGTGCCCCTGACTGCTAAGTCAGAGGTCGTGGGTTCGATTCCCACCCAGAAAAAAATATTATGTGATGAGCATAATCTGGGTGTAATTTATCTATAATGTGTTTGTATTTAGTAGATAAGTATGTTTATAAATTGGTAAAATTTATCATAAATTTATGGATTTTAAACATTATTATGCATTGAAATATTTATATTATATCGTACATTTAACTTTAAACGCAACCACTTTCGTTGCAAACTGATTTACTATTCCATACAATGTATTTAAAAAAACAGAACTCACAAAAAACTGATTTAACCTTTTTATTAATGACAATGCTTTGATTGCAGAGAACCAGACCAGTGGTCGCCCGAGTTCATAGACTTCGTAAGTCAGTGTCTCGTCAAGAATCCCAGCGAACGAGCCACGGCTGAATTTCTCTTGACACACGAATTCATTGGTAAGTATTTTCGCACCTACCTATTTACTATGCTTCTGTTGTACTAAAACAACAAAAAAAAAACACACACATCAAATTTCCACTTAAGAAGCTTGTGCTAAATAAATCCCAAGCATTCTTGTGTTCTATGTAATCCAGAATTGATTATATTTGGTTACATCTCAATAAACAGACAGTACTATTCCATCAGTGTTGTAATATGTAACTTTTTTACATCACAATTTCGTACCTGGTCGTAGAAATTACAAATACAGTTGATAAAGCAGACATTTTGGTCATCATCAATCACCACCAGTCTATAACAGTCCACTGCTGGACATAGGGCTCTCCTTAGAAAGGAGGTTTTGGCCTACTATACCACGCTGGCCAGACGGGTTGGTATAGGGTTTGTTTCAAGTTTTTCTTCTTTTCGCTGTGCTGTTGTCCTGCGTAGTTTGCTCCCTCAGTCGGCTCTTACGACACCCAATAGGGGTGGTGACATTCCGTATTCTTAATCCGTCACCACACGGACTTTTACAATGTGCCAATTTTCCGAAACCGTGGCAGAATTCATCACCTAAATATTTACTTTAGTGTGGTAGCATTTTTGTAATAAAGTTTTTGCATTTTTAGTCGATATTTTTAATTCATGTATCTAAACGTATACTGCATTCTATGTCTTTGTGTTAAATCTGTATGTACATTGTATCTGTATACTGTCAAGGTTGTCAAACGTGCTATAAGTGTAAACGTGTCACTGCGCAGGTAACGCGAAGCACCCCAGCATCCTGAGCCAGATGATCGCGGACGCGCGCGAGATCCGCGAGAGCCAGGCCTACAGGAACGCTCACGTCACCAACAACGCCAAAACATTCTCCGCGGTAACTTGCACTCACTTTGTTTTTGCAATTGATTACAGAGGGTCAGAAATAGCATTATTGTTACACAATTTGCCTCTATAGGCCCCCCCTTTTTAATTTTGCCTTTGGATGGCCGGTTGGGTCGTCGGACTCTAACCAACTAAAAACCGCACACCATCTCGGTTACCAGTAGCCGGGGAACCAGGTATAACCTAGAAATGAAATCCCTGGTAACCTAACGGGTGAAGAAACCCTCCGTTTTTTCCCTTGCGAAAATCCCCTCGGATACCACCTATCGGTCGGATGGTTATGTCGGACTCGAACCAACCAAAATCCGCACGCCGTCTCGGGTACCAGTTGCCGGGGACCAGGTGTACCCTAGAAAGGAAATCCCTGGTACCCCGACGTACCTCAGTCTATCTACGGCGTGTAGGTGACCCCCTCCTGTGTGGGAATCCCTAAAAGTGGGAAGAAACCCTCCTGGCTTTAGTATGCTAACGTAGTATAAAGTTAATCAATTTTGAAGTTTGTTTTGCACCTACTTGAATTGATATAATACCCCCCTAGTGTTTGTTTGCCACCATAAAATTAAGAAACACAAAGTATTGGATTTTATTATTAAAACCAAGTCTTTCGAGCATCTTAGGGATTTTAAACACCAATTCTAGCCAACTTAAGAGTCGGTGCAACACGTATATATGTATACCGAATCCTTATAGCACTAAGAACGTTTGTGTTGTTCAGAACGACGGAGCGTACGAGGAGGCCACCATGAAGCAGCGCGGGGACGGGACCCTCGTGCCTAACAGGGACGCCACCACAGACCTCGCCGCGGACCTGGGCACCATGGTCATCAACGAGCCCGACGAGACACTCGCCACCATGAAGCGTGAGTAACAGTTTCTTGTATTTCATTAATCATCATCATCACAGCCTTTAGTAGTCCTCTCAAAAGCCTCTCAGGAAGGAGGTTTTGGCCTACTATACCACGCTGGCATGACGGGTTGGTATAGGGTTTGTTTGCTGTTGTTCTGCGTAGTTTTTTCCCTTAGTCGGCTCTAACGACACCCACGGGATGAATAGGGGTGGTGACACTCCGTATTCTTAATCCAATACCACACTTTTATTTATGTCTAACATAAATTAATGATTACAGGTCACGATACAGATCCAATGGACACAAATAAACCGAAATACCGCCCTCTATTCCTCGAGCACTTTGAAAAGAAAGAAGTAAATCATTTAAACATTGGCGCGGCAACGAACGGGACCCTCACCTCCCACATAATACTGCCCGGAGATGACACCGTCAGGTACTAAATAAATATACATTTAAATTCAATTAAATATAGATTTCAAAACATTATTTAAAGATACCACGAATATTCGGCAAGTATTCGGTCATTTTTTCACATAGGTACATCAAATAAACTGCAGATTATTGTGTTTACTAAAAAGGAAATGTCTAGTTTTTGTATTCACGTTGGTTTTTATTACCGAGTAAAACCAATAATGGCCTAAATTACACTGAAATATAGCAGCTAAAATTAGGAATTTCTAAGATAATAATTCTTAAAGCCTGCTGTTTTTAAAGTTAAAGTCATTTTATGTTGGTAGATATTTTTATTGTAGGATGGCAATACTAAATACACTATATACTATTGTTTACTCACAAGATAAATCAATTCTTTTTGACTGAACATGGCGTAGTTCTCTTTATGTTTGTAGAAATCTCACAATTCTTAATAGTATACACAAATTATACATAATCGTCATCCATATGTCACGTGTGATGCGTCCATCAGAGACAACTGTCAAACTTATCATTTTATTTTTATTGGGCATTGGTAGCAAAAGTTTTGTTGGTATTCAGCCTAAAAATGTGCCTAAGTAAAAACGATGTGTTCTCAAAATTTAAATTTGATTTAATAAATTATAATATTAGGTCTTAGGCCAATAATGCTCATACAGCTATTTTTGTTTCTTTTTATACAGTAGTACTTAATTATTATATTCAGTCGTAACAACTCCGTTACGTGTGCTAGCATCAGTATTTCATAACATAACGACTCACATTACTGAACATAGCCTAACTTTTATTCACAAATAAAAATAACTCTGTCTTAAACTGGCTTGGTGTGAACTATTTATCTACAACCACAACTACCAACTACTGGGGTACCGTTAACGACGTGATAACTCCAACAAAGTATGTCAAAAATATTTATATAATAAAAAACCATTTCTGGACAACTTTTTTCATAATATTCTGAAATAAGTAACTTTTTATTCAAATACAATTATTCGTAGAGCTTTTTGCGAACAAAAGTGATATTTCTTAAGATTTCTTCACATTGCAAATTACAAATAAAGTGTGTTGTGACTCCAATCACAGCATTCTCAGGGAGTCGTCATTGTAGATACTTTAGTGATGTAGTTTTAAACATGTCATCCGCGAAAGGTAATAGTGTTGCCTAGAGTTTCGCCGAATATAATATTCATTATTCGATAAAATTACTATTCTTGGTGCCTCTAAATATTCTAAGGCTAAATATTACCTTAATGCAAAAAAGGGTATGTTTCAGCTTCGACGCACGACTGGGGTTTACTCATTAAGAACGATTCGGATGCACACAAGTATACGAGTTATACACATACGTGTGAAAGGTGCGAACGATAGGTCGCCCGCACAAAACTTGACGAGGTTATTCGATCACTAAATTTTACTCTTCTTATTTTTTTCATACCGTGCGATTTCAAAATTGATTCTTAAGGAGTAAACTCCAATTCTAAAAAAAAATAATGACAGTTAATGTAAAGGAAAACTTGAACCGAAAGTGTGTTACTAACCGCTCCGTGTCACATTGTCCGCAGCGCGGGCGCGGGGGTCGCGGGGGTCGCGGGCGCGGCGGGCGCGGCGGGTGTCGCGGCGGGTGCGGGGGGCGCGGGGGCGCTGCCGGCGCTGGCGCTGCACCGCGCGCTGGTGGAGGAGGGCAACTTCGAATTCGTAAGTCAACTGCACGTCGTCACTCTCCTCGCGCTCACCGACCCGCGTAAGCGCCGCACCACACCTACCGCCGCTCTCGCCTCTCGCCTCTCGCTTACCTACTCTATTCACTGACTGACTGACTCTTTTGAGCCTAAACCGCTGGGGCTACAGACTTCACGTTTTGGCAGCTAATGCTTTTTTTGTTGTAAGCACCCACTAAGAAAAGCTTTTTTTTTCTCCCCTAGGGGGGTAAAATAAAATCAATCGTTTTCAATGTTAGATACATGAAATAAATATTTATGATGCTGTGGGTATTACTGGCTTCGACAAATTTGCTTAACGTAGAGGATTGCAACAGTAAGCTAATTAGAGATCCTCACGTGTAGTTCAGTAAATACGTAAGAACCAATTAAAATTTGTCGTGATGAAATCGATCTACTTACTCGATTAAGTAAATCGAATCACAGATCTACACATATAAATATTTACTTAATTTAGTTGAGACGACTACGAATCATAAAAAATATTGTAGTTTTGTGATACAATTTGATTAAAATTTAGGTTTTATTGATAATAAGATTTAAATGTATACACAATAAAGTTTTAACAAATACTTACTTAACATGTTTAACATTGCTTTTAGTTTAAACTTGTTCTGAAATGAAATAGTGGTGTGATGTAACATAATATAATTTATAACATTTTTACTTTTATTTATTTGTTATCTTTTCACGCTTTTTAAACTTACTATTTGCTGATACTTGATTTTTTTATTAAGAATACTTAACAAAAAAGGGTCATACATATATTATTTATTGATTTCAAACTCACATTAAAAAGATATCAAGAAAATATATTTAAGTTACGTACTATTTCCGTAAAAAAAAAAATTTTTTTGGCATATATTCCTATACAACAATGGCTATTCTGTTTTTCACGCTTGTGTTTATAAATATAATAAATTTTACATAAAATATGAATATTTTTCTTCAATATAAATGTGTCTGATTTCATATTTATATTATTGTGCTATGACAATAATAATTGAATTTTTGGTATCGATTTATTTTCAATTGAAATTATTAATCATCGATTAAAAACCTCGAAAGACCGAGTGAAAGTGAAGGTAACGAAGCGATGAGATTACCCAGTAGGCGTGTACTTTCAGTTGTCGTACCTGCCGGAGAGCGAGCTGGAGGCGCGCGTGGCTCGGCTGGACGCGGAGATGGAGGCCGACATCGAGCAGCTGCGCTCGCGCTACAACCGCAAGCGCCAGCCCATACTCGACGCCATACACCTCAAGCGCAAGCGACAGCAGAACTTCTAGCGCGCACGCCCTGACATCCCCACCTCGCCGTGGAGGAATCATATCACCGACTCACCGCACGTGAAGATCGAATATCCTGTAGAGATCAACTCTTTATATAAATTAAATGATATGAATGAATAAGAATCAAAACGACACTGGAACGAACGAGGTCGTGCAAAGTTTCGGGTCAGGATTAGTGGATGTATAATTAAAAGGGATACTGTTATTTAATGTATGAATTTATTTATCCAAATTCATTACACCGATGGATAAGAAATAATTAAAAAAGATAGAATCGAAGTTTAAAGACGGTGTGCCCTAAATATCTTTCATGTACAAATAACTTTTTATAAATACGTTTTAATGACGACAAAAAGTTTTACTTTTTTGTAAAATGATAAGAAAAAAAAGGTTTTCTCTTTACATTTCTCGTGCTTATTGTCGGCTATGTCAAATTGGGTGCTTTTCATTCGAAATGGTGCCAAAATTCATCACGTACGTCTGTCGTGTGTATTCCTAAATTTTACCTATATAAACATTTATAACGATTCGGCCTAAATATTTTTGAAAGTTTTCTTTTAACTATACAGGCTCAGTAAAGCCGATATATAAATGACTGACGCGACACAAAAGTTACATAAATTATATAAAGAATACCGACTTTAAATTAAACTTAAATGTAGTCATTTTCATGCTTTTAAAATGTAACTTCAGTTTTCTGTCATCACAACGAAAATAGCAAACGTATTTCTGACGCAGCCGCGTCATAGTGTTAGTCTAGCTTGTTAATATAGATTGTTACGTAGTATAAGTAGTCTAACTCGTATATAAGGGCAGTTGAGGTGGCTGACACATATCTTTGTGGCGAGTGAGGTGGCGCCACACTTTTATTGTATTATTTTGAGCGTTTGATATCTATACCAGTGTTCTATACGATAACTGATTAACAAATTATTACTTGCCAAAAATTTACTAAAATGGATTAGTTTTTTTTTGCAGCAATTAAATACTCAAGTTGGTAGCCACCTATGTAGTGTATATTCTTTACTTTAGACTTTAATTGGTATGTTTTTAACAAAAACTAGGAACCTAATCATATGGTTCTATGGCCATGGTATGGTATAATACCATCCGTGACAACCACACTAAGTACCTCAGTAGTCCACTGTGAAGAAAATACACTCCCGCCCAGTAGCATATTGTATTAAAATTCATGACAATATTATTTGTAGATATAAATAGTTATTATAACGAAACTATAATTTGAATGAAGTTTTCCGTTCCGTTTTGCGTTTAAACTCGTTTATATTAAGTTCCTTACGTTTTAGATCTCAGATGTATCTCGCACTGTATTATATATACGTATGTATTGTAATTAGATTGTATTTTTTCATTCAATTTGTACATTGTTTACGACTTTGTAGTGGGTTGTGAGATGAATTTAATGAAAAAGATAATATACAAGTTAAATTGACGTGTTTCAATAGAGATTCGGTTGATTGTGGACGCGTGCTAAGTGCGGGCGTGTACGTAGCCGTATTTACGTACGCGTACGTTATTTGTTTAGCGCGTGTCCGTTCTTAACCGGTTGTTATAAAATTACTAAATAGTACTAGATGTCAATCGTGATGGGTTTTAATCCCACTGTTTGCGTGATTCTGATAATATTTGTAGCAACAAGTCCTATAAGGAAACTTTTTTTTCTCACGAGATTTTATGCATTTCTTACAATGTAATAAATGTAGAATAACTAGCAAATATTAGAGTTAAAGCGTGTTTATTGAGATGAAAATATAGCGTCTGTTTCTCATGTCAAAACGTATCTTCTGCCATATAGAGTATTTTGCGATATAGTGAACATTACCATCGATTTATCAAATTGAAACACAAATGTTTAGAAGTGCCATTAAATATATGAACAAAAGATAGTATTTTCGTACTCCAAGCAATAGTTATATATTGGATATCTTTATCTTTTTGGGCTATGAATTATAAAGATTGGCGATATACATTTTATAATATATTTTTGTGCCATTGCTGTGCAAGAGTCTGCATCGTGGTGATTGTGTGTAAACAGTGAGTGAACAAGCTTTCGGAATGCATTTTGACTGCTATAATTAAATGCTGTGAATTAGATGCGTTGTATAGTTCTAAAGCAATAAATATTTTTGTCTTATTATATCAAGGAAATGAATATTTTTTGTTCAATTAACTTGATTGGGATAATATAAACATCTATTTAATTTAATTATTATTTGCAGTATCAAAATGCCCGTCTTAGTTATGATTTTTCATAAATAAATATAATTATTGTAATTATTATTCAATGTTTTTGCACTTGTGTAAATTTGATTGTTTTCTTTTTGTATTGAATATTGAATTTCAACTTTTTTTTATGTTACTTGCCAACCAGACAAACCACAGTCGGCCTATATTTAGATATTCGGAAAAAAACGTCTATAAATTGTACAGGGTAAAATTATATTAATGCATTATTCTTACTAAATTCGCTTACAGTAATGCTTCGTATATTCCTTTCTTTATATTTATCGATTTTTTACCTAAATTTGAAGAAAAAAAATGTAATCATACTAAATTTTTGAAGAAGTTAAAATTAATATACATTTAATTTTAAGTAAATGTAACTACAAAACTAGGTTATTACGTAGAAGGCAATAGGAGTGACAAGGATAGCAATATTTGTATTTGTTTACAAGACCTAAGTTACTATTTGATGCGTTCTAATGTAAAATGTATCTTATTGAAAATATTCACAATGTACCGTTGAGTTTCGACAAAAATCCGTGTGAAAATACATTATTTTTTGTATGGTAATCATATGTAATAAAAAAATACCATTATATTGATTTTTGTTTCGGAAATTCTCGACTATTGGTATTGGTGGGGCTTTAATTCTGCATTTATGAATATGCTTGACTAGTGCCGGTCTAGGTAACAGGTCGTATCGCTCGTTCACAAAGAGCCCCTGTCGGGCCTAATACCATTGACGCACTCGTGAGCACATATAGCTTTAATAAATTTCACCTGTAGTGCAAACAAAGTCTTTAAAAAAAAATTGGGAAAGTTATTCAAAATTGTACATTGTAATACTTTCAATAAGGTGCATTATCGAACAAACTGTGTAGTGTTGTTGAGGAGTTTCGTTGAGCGTTCGTTCTGGTTTCTTGTTGGACGAACACAACTCTTTGATACGTTGATAGTGTGTTTTATAAACAGCTTGTGTGAGTACCATATCACACTGATGCCATTAAATATCAAACTGAGTTAATTTTCATAGATAAAAAAAACATTCTTTGATTTCTCTCTTGGCGGGAACTGCTGGCAACACCAGTCCTGCTGATTATTCATTACGCAAATCCCTTTTTGACAGATTGTATTAGTGATTACCTCAACAAACATTATTTAACCGATCCCATAATCCATTATCGGTATATACAGAGTTGTATAATTATTAATATCTGAATTAACGCAATCAAAATTTACTACATACGATTGAGTTGCATAACGTTTCGACTAGTTTGCACTGGTCGTAGTCAGGTTGAGTCTGCCCACGTCTAGTGCAATCTGGTCAGAAAATATATAATACCTATTGATAGCGTTATTTCACTTATTAATAAATGAAAGGTATACATTTTTGTTATCTGTCAATAAGCGAATTATGTACTGCATTGGTTGTAAGTCAAAGTAGTGTTTGTGTATGGTCATTATATGGTGTCATATGGTACATGAGCTGTCGCCTTGTATGATAGTTTGTTGTAGGGTACGATGGAAGTGCACTTTGTAATTCATTAGCCTGTTGACAGAAGTGTTGAATAGCGTACGTATTATATTTTTGGACAACAACTCACTCAAATAAAAATATTAAATTCAATATAAAAACATGTTTTATTTCTCGTTCAACGAAACACAGCGCTACTGTCAAGATTTTTTTGTACAAATATACATTTTTAACTTTAAATCTTGAAATAATTTAACAATTTCACTTGTTGACTAGACCAGACCAATAATTGATTTTCTTTAAAACAACAACCAAAAATCACAGATAAAAAAAGATTAATACTCTAAAAATAAAAGTTAATATTATCATTTGTGATATCCAGTGCACTATTTAAATAATATAACTTCGGTGGAAAGACTGTTGGATTGATGAACTAAATTAGGGCTTCCAAATATTACAATTTAATTCTACTAACTGTAGAACATAGTCGACTATTAATGAAATTTTTGTCAACCCTATATACCCAAATGTCCAGCAGTGGACTGCAACAGGTTGATTTGATGGATAAAGGCACGGGGAAACGTGCATTTTTATCTAAACGGTTTAATTAAACAGTCGTGTCGTTCATCAAATACCTTTAGAAATGAGTTCAATTCTCCAAAAAGTAACAGTCAACCTTATGGGTTTTTTTCTTAAAAGTGTTAACACAATTACAATACAGCTATATCGATACCTAGTTACAAAAATAATACTAGAATTTAAATTGACAACAAAATATTTTGAGATTTTTCCTTCCTTTTTACATTCTAATAAATTCATTGTAAACTTGACAAATTTAGGCATAAATACATCGGACTAACCCGTGTTATTTATGCCTAAATGTGTTGCATTATATCGTATATGTCGGCTAATTCACTACAATAGTCTTAAATATTACGTAAAATGTTAATTAAAAGAAAATGCAATTAGAAAATTTAAAAAAATGGCATTATTTAAAAACACACATACGGTAATTTACAATGCAAATAATAAACAATACAAACAACATCCAAATATTATTAGAAATTGCTAGCAAGGTATTATTCACAATCTTCTGACTTTAACATTTGTAGTCTAACGAAGCGATCTCACATCCAACGCCATCTAGTGGTAAAGAAATAAACTAACATTTCCTGCATCACGATATAACGTTTACAATGAACTCAACATCGTGGACTGCGCTTTTAAACTCCTTATATTTGAGGACCTGGTGCACCGAGAAGCAGTTGTGTGCGGGCAGCACAGCACCGTATGTTGTGGCGAATCTTGAGGGAGGCCTATGTCCAGCAGTGGACATCTTTCGTCTAACATGATGCTGATTATTATTAGAGGACCTTTATTCGCTATTTCTCTTCACAAAACCAGTACTCTCAATAATAAGTTAATCGGGTGCACTACATTAGATTTTTTAATTATTTCTATTTATTTTTATTTCATTTCCAAAGCCCGATCATATCATATATATTCAGTTACCATTGATGAGATATTTAACGTTATATATTAAAATTTAATTTACATAATGCTGGTCATCTCTACACTTAGTTCTAACCATCTTACAATACATGTACAACTCTACAAATTGAAGTATATGGACATCTCTCGGCTCTTAGGATCTCTTTTTCACAACTAGCATGCTGATATAACTTAAAAACTAAAAACATTATTTTACCGACAACGACATGATAAAAACAGACATTATAAATCTTCCAATTGCAGACTAAAACTGCAATATATGTCACTAGAGATGTAACGGTTAACCGGTAATTATCCGGATGAATTTTACTAGCAACTATCCGAACAAATAACGGTTATTAAATTCAAATAGTTTATTTAATACTTGAAATGGTAATTAAGCAAATTATGGTAGATGACCAAAGTTTTTTAATTCAATGGCTTCATCGGTAAGCGATGATTCAGCCAACGTCAAAATAATAATGGGCAGAAAACCGATAATAGAGTTGCGAGATTGGACGAATATCCGAGATTCGGTTAAAACTATCCGTTTCATTTATACAATACTCCGTTTTACAATGTAGATTATAATTTAAAAAAAAACGAGTGTCCTTTAGGCCACACGACTGAAGTAAAACTTCTTGGCTATGAGAGAAAGAGAGAAAGTAAATGTGTGCTCGCACCTCTCTCTTGCCCCTACAGTAATATACGAAACGTTACTCTCTCTCTTGTCTATCTTCACTAACTTATATCTCCCTCTCAACTTCCGTTCGCCTCGCCCGATCACACCTTTCGTAACGCTCTCGTCACGCATTCACCAGCTTACTCCGTTAAGCGTGCGTAAAGAAGTTTTACTTCAAAAACATTCTTGCCTTAATATAAATAGTCTTCGTCCACACTACTGTTCGTATTAAAGTATTTAGGCACTGGATTTCAGTACTACCTATGTTATAAGTTATTATTTTTAGGCCTTTGTTCGAAATAAAAGTGGAGTTCAAATGAGAAAAGAGAGATCTGCAATATCGATACAGTGACAACTTAAATTGTATCTTAAATCTTAGACTTAGTGTGTAAAACAATTTAAATACTTGGAATAGACAATAATCATAGCTACAATGAAAACATTATACGGCTCTACAAGGATATTACTGGATGTGGTATTTTTTTTTATGTTAGAGGGGGCAGACGAGCAGACGGGTCACCTGATGGAAAGTGACCATCGCCGCCCATGAACGTCTGCAACGCAGGAGTCATAAACGCGTTGCCGGCCTTGTTTTCATAAACTAATGATGATTTTAGCCGATTTTTTTTATGGTGTATGGTGTTTATGGTGTCAGGAAGGAACTAAATTAATTTGTTTTTTTTTTTACAGTATTCAAATGGTGAATGAATATAAATAATAGATTTGAGTATGTATTTTTTACTTAATAATGTATTTATGAGGGCCTAGTGTGAGTTTATTTCACATCAACTGCCTCTCGACGGTGAGCGCGTGAGGCGTTGCAATTGGTCGGCACTGAACTCTTCACCAATCGCCACGCCGAACAGTCACCGTCACCGACGATCAAGTAGGCCCTTAGTTAGCTTTTTCGCTTTGTACAGCGTTAAGTGAGTTTGCGCCATGTGCTCAAGTAACTAATATTATTTCTAGAGATATCAAGCGTACATACATACACGCACGCATATTTACCTGTGGGGAGCGAGTAAACTAGAAATAATTTGTACACCTAACGCGAATTTTACATTTCACATTACATATTTACGGATATCGTCGATACGATTTTCTTCCTCATTTCATTGTTTGTTCGCCTCTGTTTGGTCAGAGGCGCTTTTAACAAATAACTATTCAGAGAAAAAATGTTACTATAATAATATTTCCACACATCTCACACACGGCCGCCTGATTCCAAACTAGACAGAGCCTGTGCTATGGTGACCAGACTGCTGATAAACATACTTATATATTTTAAATACATACATATTATAGATAAATTACACCCAAACACAGAACAAATGACTGTGCTCTCACACAATAATTTGTCTTGGGTGAGAATCGAACCTCTGGAGTAGCAGGATAGCATATTAATTAATGCTATTAATCAAAAAATGTTGTAACCCCAATAATATATAATAAATGTCCTCGTCATTAAAGATCAACCATGTAATTAGTTTAGTAGATGATGCTTGTGTTGTTCAGATTTTGTAAGCGATAATTTTTAGTCCTACCCGTCATTTTGAAAAAAATCTTTTGTACAACCCTTGAGAAATGTTTTTAGGTATTTAACAGTTAAGAGCGGAGCAGTTACGAGAACGGTTAGTCTATGAACATTCTAAAGCTGATATACTTTAACCTTAGTAATATTTAAGCACAATAACCACTTCCAATAATATTATTGCAGCACCGATTTTACACAATGTACACCAAACCTTTGATACAGGTTCTCCCAATAAAACCGTTTATCTTTTATAAATGAGTATTTAAATAAAGTATTTATATTATAATACATGGCATAACATAGGAAAGGTTACATTATAATTTTGGACAATGTCCGAATAGATAACATTGGCTGGATAAAAGTTTTAAGAAAAGAGTGACGCATCGATCAAGCCCCGCCTACTCAGGTACCGAGAAATTTATCGTTTCATACGAAAGCTTGGAACCTGATTGGTTAGGATGCAATGCGTCATTATTTTTTTAACGCAAATGGACTACGGTATAATGGATTTGGTATGTAACAGACCAAGTCAAGACCAAGTGTTGCATATTGGGGGGGCTTTCAGGTGCAAGATATTAGAGGAATTGCATAATGGTGACGCTTACTTAAAACAGGACCCGGTAAAGGAATTTTACTTACTTATTTTAGGGTGCCATGGCATGTCATAGCATGCCGCGGTATGCACAAAATCCCTGTTGAATGTGAGAACTATATGTAATAAAATACATTCTGTGCCGTGTGATAAGTAAGCGTCAGCCATTTGATAATTAAAAATAAGTAATTTTCGCACAGAAACGATAATTGATGTCTTTTTGTGTTGCAAGCGTATTTAGAAAGCTGTTGAAAGGCCTTCACGTCGAGAATTTAGGAAGGCTATTAGTTCAAGAGTTTGCAACACTGGTTTGACACCCCTTTTTTCATATGGGGAGTAAACAAGCTGGGTCACCTGATGGTAAGTGACTACTGCCGTCCATGGACTCCTGCAACTCAAGAGATACAAGTGAGCAATTTGAGTGCCTTGGGGCCAGAGATGAGCCTCTGGACCCTTACTCACTGGGTGAACAGCAGTAAAGAACTGAGTAGAACGCGATTACACAAGGATTTTTTTATGAAAAAATAATAGTGACGTCATCCAGCCAATGTTGCCATCTTAAAAATATAAAAAAATACTGATTTTACAAATACAAACAGAATACATGCTTCTGTTTTAAATACATTCCAATCTTTCTGTAATGTTAATAAATTCTTGAAGAATCAAAAATATACATATTTAGCCTCTATGGGACGAGTACATCCTAAGGATGATAACAACTTAACATAATATACAATAATGGCCTTACACTAGTGTCTGAGAATCATCTGACAGTATAGAAAGCTGTCCAGCACTGAAAACAAACAAAAACACATTATATAAATTTACTATGTAATATGTCCGTGTAGTGACGGACTAAGAATACGGTATGTCACTACCTCAATTCATCCCGTGGGTGTCGTAAGAGCCGACTAAGGGCGCAAAACAACGCAGGACACCAGCACTGCAAAAAGAAGGAAAACTTGACACAAACCCTATACTAACCCGTCTGGCCAGCGTGGTGTAGTAGGCCAAAACCTCCTTTCTAAGGAGAGGCCTATGTCCAGCAGTGGACTAGTAAAGGCTGTTGATGTGATGATGTGATGATGATGTAATATGTAATGATTTCTAAACAATACAGGGAAATGAAATTAGAGATATGTTTATTTTAATTGGATTAAACATCAGGCGAGCGCAAACAAGGGGGTACCGCACGATCTCCTTTGAGGCAGCGAGTCTCCTGGCCGGAACTCCACCGTGGGACCTGGAGGCGAGAGCCCTTGCGGCACTGTATCAGTGGCGCAAGGAGGCGCAGGAGTTGGGTCGATGCCCCGAGACTCGAGAAATCGAGGACCGGAAATCCCAACTCCGCCAGGTCATCATAGGGGAGTGGAGGGAACGACTCGGGCAACCGAGCGCCGGGCACGCCGTCATTGCGGCGGTAAGACCCGTAATGGAGGATTGGCTCGAGAGGCGTCACGGGACCCTCTCATACCGATTGACGCAGGTGATCACTGGGAAGGGATGTTTCGGAGATCACCTGTGTCTGATCCGCAAGGAGCCAACGCCTGAGTGTCACCACTGCGATGGCCAGACCGTGGACACGGCTCTCCACACGCTGGCAGAGTGCCCGGCGTGGGTTGAGCAGAGGCGAGACCTCGTGGCGGCCATCGGAGTGGGAGTTCTCTCGCTCGATAGCCTGATTGCGGCTATCGTGCGGAGCGAGAGTGCGTGGAACTCTGCCGTCTCCTTCTGCGAGCAAGTTATGCTCGCGAAGGAGACGGCGGAGCGGGACCGGGAGAGGTTTAGAACTCTCCCGGCCCGCCAGGCCCGGGCACGGGCCAGGCAGCGCAGGTCACTCAGGCGCCGGAGGTCGCAGAACGACCTCCGTCCTCCATAAGCGCAGGCCTGGGGGTGACAGGTGAGGCCATCTGTCACCCTAGCAGAAGCAGGCCGGGGTGGCGGCGAGCGCGTTGCGAAGCGCGCTCGCTTTCAGGGAGCACAGGGAACATGGGGTTCCCACACGGGGCGGGGGTCGTCTACTCGTCTGTAGATGACCCGAGGTATGTCGGGGCACCAGGGCCTTCCTTTCTAGGGTATACCTGGTTCCCCGGCTATTAGTACCCGGCGAAGGCGTGCGGTTTTAGTCGGTTCGAGTCCGACATGCCACCGACAGGTGGTATCCGAGGGGATTTCCGCACGGAAAAAAAAAAAAAAAAAAAAAAAAAAAAAAAAGGCGAGCGCAAACAATAAACAGGTTTTTTTTTTTGTGTTAGAGGGGGCAGACGAGAAGACGGGTCACCTGTTGGAAAGTGACTATCGCCGCCCATGAACGTCTGCAACTAAGGAGTCACAAACGCGTTGCCGGCCTTTTAGGAAGGAGTACGCTCTTTTCTTGAGGGTTTGAAGGTCGTATCGGTTCGGAAATACCGCAGAAAATGCTTCAAGATTTTTTTGTACCGTAATTAAGACAGCCACATACTCGTGTTAGGGTATAATGTGAATGTTTTCTTTTTTTTTTATATGTGACTAGCTGAGACCCGCGGTGTTACCCGCGCTTGTTGTTATAACCGCGGGCAACGCCGCGGGGCGAAGCTAGTCTAAAAAAGTAGCCTAAGTTACTCCTTATGTCATCAGCTATCTGCCAGTGAAAGTCCCGTCGAAATCGGTCCAGCCGTTCCAGAGATTACCCGGAACAAACAAACAGACAGACAGACAAAAATTGAAAAAAATGTTATTTTGGCATATGTACCGTGTAAACATACATATGCATTTATTAAAAAGCGGTTATTTTAATATTACAAATACTCCAATTTTGATTTATTTGTATAGATATAGATATACTTAAGTACTTCACCGGGAACTACTACTGTCTTACCGGAAATTTGGATCCATTCTAAGGTTGCCTGGAAGAGATTGCTCTTAGCAATAAGACCGCCCTTTGTACGTTATATGTCTGACACTTTATGTACCATACTTTTTGTAAAACGGTGTACAAATAAAGAGTTCTATCTATCATATATATGTTTACCTAAAAAAATATATATTAATGTGAACGAAATATCGTTCGGAGGTCAAATTTCAGCCATTTTTTTTTTATTAGGCACCGTAAATTGAACTATCAGATCTGTTGGTTTTAGTGGTTAGCGGTCCTGACCTCTAGAGGTTGTGGGTTCGGACCCTGGACAAATATTATGCGGTGAGTACGACTATTTGCTATGTCTAAGTGTAAATAAATGGGTATCGTGGCCAGATCATGAAATTGATCACATCATTATATGGTCCATAATAATTTCATAAAATAGAAATATTTCATGAAATATTGATCGGATCGGTCACACGGAAAACGTCGTCTGGCCATACCCATGAATAATCACCGTTTAACGACATGAACAAAACACACGACTTCATGAAATCTAATAAAATTATATTATTTTTTATCCTGTTTCGAGCTTCCCGTTAATTAACCTTTTTAGGTAATAATTGGTAAAAAAAAACATCTTTATTACTTGAGTTCCAGATATAGAATATTGCTAACATGGTACGGGTCTTCCCCAGAGCAGGGCGCCTGAGACCGGCTGTCGGGGTGGTTTTAGTGGAAATACTCTGGCTCCTGCGATACTTTTAAACCCCGTCAAAAAAAAAAAAGGTATAGAATATTGCTGGGGTACTTTAATTCCAGTAAAGTTCACACTTGCCATGAATATGAATCGACTGTATCTGTGTGAAGAGACGTATGACATCACAGCAGATTAACAGGGACACGTCTCCAGTGTTATCTATCAGCTTCACATCACATCACATCAACAGCCTTTAATAGTCCACTGCTGGACATAGGCCTCTCCTTAGAAAGAAGGTTTTGGCCTACTATACCACGCTGGCCAGGCGGGTTGGTATAGGGTTTGTGTCAAGTTTTCCTTCTTTTTGCAGTGCTGGTGTCCTGCGTTGTTTTGCGCCCTTAGTCGGCTCTTACGACACCCACGGGATGAATTGGGGTAGTGACATTCCTATCAGCTTATCTACAAGCATTTACCCACAACTTTTAACTAAGAGAGGGGGACAGTTTTATATGGTCAGGACTCACAGCAAGCCAATGGATCATGTGGGTCTAGATCAGCCTTTGTTATCTACAAAATGAATAAATGAAACTGGCACAATATTCTTTTTAAATACGGGAAGTTACATACGTGTCCGTGTAATGACGGATTAAGAATACAGTGTCACCACCCCTATTCATCCCGTGGGTGTCGTAAGACAGACAACAGCTCTGCAAGGAAAAGGGAAACTTGAAGAAAACCAAACCAAGACCAAAACCTCGTTTCTAAGGAGAGGCCTATGACCAGACTGTACGGTTTTAACTGTGAATACGCCGTTTCCTAGTACGCTGAGTGTAGTGGGCTCGATGCTCACATGGGACGACACTTTGTCGTTCTGAGTCTGGCTGTTTTTTGTGTGCGTTTCATGTATTTTTGTTAAGTTCCCCGCGACACAGGCTTTCTAGTGCGAGAGTTGTCTTTTAACTAAAACATAGCAGTGGACTTATTAAAGGCTGCTAAGGATGATGGTGACATACGCAAAGCTGTTATTAATTTAAACAAAGATCTTAATTTCGTTGTTTTAAGGTCCCATTTTTTCTATATAGCACAAAAAGGACGGTGTTTACGATGAAAAATACTTCTGTTGGGAATTTTTTGGCCAGATCAATTGACTAAAATACCAAATAGATGCATCAGTTGACAGTAAATGTTCACAATGGAATGTAGAAAAAAATTAAACATATCGTCCCCGTAGTTGGAAAATTAAATAAGTCCGGTTTTGGCGATATTGACTTTTCCCTATTTTCAAAACACCTAAAACATGCCGCATATTTGAGCCTTACAGGCATTTTCGTATCTTATTCCATTCTAAAAATATAGCCATTTTTGTCGGACAGATGGAATAATAAATATCTTTAGACTAACACTATTTTTTGAAGGAAAAATAAATAACTCAGTAAATAAATCAATAACTGTGGTCAATGATAAGTTAAATGGCAAATAAATTAAATAATATACCTATTAATATCATAATACAGTTTTTATTTTATATGAGACCAATAATAGTTAAAAATATCAAAATAATGTAAAATACAAAGCCACTAAGTTTTACATTTAAAATATTTCGAATTTGATAAATTCAATAACTGCATTTATTTCACCAAATTTTACTCTACCAAATGGATTTAGCTTATAGGAAAACTAAATAAATAGCCGAAATAAGTAGCTAATTGTAGTTACGTTATAAATAATAATTGTGGTAAAATTAAACAACTTGATTTTTAATGTTTTATTTTCTTATAGTTAAATATAGAGTTCAGTTTGTTAAAGCATAATATAAAAGGTGATCAGGTCCACAAAATATAAAATTACCGACGGTAAAATTGTCTCACATTTTTTAACAAATGTACATTAACTGAAAAAAAACACTGAATCGCGTTTATCTCAGAACTGCAAAATCATAGTTATTTAATTTTCCAACTACGGGGACGATATATCAAAGCACACCCAATGTTGTAACAATAATGCACGCACATACATGCTGAAAGTAAAACCCAAATATAATAATCCGCTAATGTGTTGTGACGTCACTTGCCTCGACCTATTTGCGAATAGTTGCCCTTCAAGCTCTTTTATATCGCAAAGGGCTCGATAGTAGGGGTTGGGGTTAAAACAATAGCTATCGATATACTGACGAGGTACTCTTTACTTAATAGTTTAGACGCTATAATAACAGTACTATTAATATTTTTACTAATTGAATATAACGAACGATATCTATACAAATAAATAAAATTGTTGTCTGTTTGTAATGTCAAAATAATAGTTTTTTTTTATACTTAAACGATTATTTGCTCGATACCTATGCCTAAAAACCAGTTTAAAATATTTTTGTCTGTCTGCCTGTTTGTTTGTTCCGGGTAATCTTTCGATTTTGATAATATTTTACTACCGAGTAGCTGTCTATATAAGGAGTGCTATGTTCTCTCTCAGAAAACCCTATAAAATTTTGCCTGGTCCGGGAATCGAACTCACTAAGGAATGAATGATATAATTTGATGAGCACGAATTAAGTAAAAATCTACACACCACTTTTTTTAACAGTAATTAATATATTTTTCTAAAAAATTAGAATGGAAATGACAGTTTTTAGTTTATCTTAACACTAGCTGACCCGCGCAACTTCGTCTGCGTCTCTCAATAGTAATAAATTTTCTCCGTTTTTGAAACATTCTTCATTGGTGCTCCGCTCCTATTGGTCTTAGCGTGATGATATATAGCCTATAGCCTTCCTCGATAAATGGGCTATCTAACACTGAAAGAATTTTTCAAATCGGACCAGTAGTTCCTTAGATTAGCGCGTTCAAACAAACAAACAAACAAACAAACAAACAAACTCTTCAGCTTTATAATATTAGTATAGATATATCTTCTAAGTATGCATTTTCTCGTCAGGATTTTTTTTGATGGTAAAAGGGGCAAACGAGCAGACGGGTCACCTGAGGGTAAGCAACTACCGCCGCCCATGGACACCTGCAACTCAAAAGTCACAAGTGCGTTGCCGCCCTGGGAGTCCTCCGCTGGAGTCAGCGGGAGGGTGGATTTGGGCTCTAGTAACCTCACTCACTCAGTGAAAGGCAACAAACGAATTGCTTAACACCGGTTTTCTGCGAGGCTGTGGTATCACTCCGGTCGAGCCGGCCCATTCGTGCCGAAGCATGGCTCTCCCACGTAAGGCATATTAAATGAATAATAAAAAGAATACTTACAATACTGCGCGGCGCTAATCAATAACTCGTACAGCTGAATAGGTCCCTGCCCCTTCAGCACGATCTCACAGATGAAGACATACACGACTCTGGTGGTCTCAAACAGCGAGTCCAGCAGCAGCCAGGTAGTGATATTCCGGCCTGTGTTGTGGGTCGCACTTCGATTCATCACTACACAACTGTTCAGAAAGCCTATTGCGCTAGTGAGTATCATCAGCGCTGATATGAAGTAGTGGATCACTGTGGAGGAAAGACAAGTCAATGGTTCATTAGGATTATGGTCTGAGTATGGCTTTTAGAATTTCATGAATAATACATTGTATATCTATCATCATCATCATTACATCAACAGCCTTTATCAGTCCACTGCTGGACATAGGCCTCTACTTAGAAAGGAGGTTTTGGCCCATGGCCTTAGCGTAAATACGGCACTGTGAGTTACAAATAAATAAGTACCTTTGTACACACTTTTTAAATTTTGAGAACATAATATTATTTTCGTAATAATAATATTCCGTGTGGTGACGGATTAAAAATACGGAGTGTCACCACCCCTATTCATTCCATGGGTGTCGTAAGAGCCGACTAAGGGAGCAAACTACGCTGGACAACAGCACTGTAAAGAGAAGGAAAACTTGACACAAATCCTATACCAACCCGTCTGGCCAGCGTGGTATAGTACGCCAAAAACTCTTTTTAAATACAGGCCTATATCCAGCAGTGGACTATTTAAGACTGTTGATTTGTACACACATTTAAAGTGAGGAATAAGTCTTCTTAACATGTAATTGTTATCTCAATTAGAAATAGATGTTGCTACCGTGTGTCTGTTTAAATAATGATTAACATATGTATTTACTCTTTAACTGTAAATAATGTAATTATATTGTAATACGTGCTTAGGCCTTAATGCTCACTGAATGTAGATTGTAAATAAAACATCTTTATTTTAACATAATTAAATATTGAAATCCTTTATCAACACAACTTACAACCATATATCGTGGAAAAGACATTCTTCTAAACAAATAGTTCGTATTGATGCTACAGTCTCACAGGAAACCGGTCTTAAACAATTCTTTCCTTACGGGTCACCGAGTGAGTTAGGTTGATGGAGCCCCAAAACCTACCCAAACTCCCTCACCCTGATTCGGAGGTGGAGGGGGGGGGGGGGGGTCCGCACGTGTGAAAAATAGTATCCACCTGGCGGCCACTAAGTTTCTTTCCGATTTCACTGTGTGGGTCTATAAACGCTCGATTTGCACGCACACCAGTATCAACATGCCACATGATACTTATGCCAAAAAACCAGTTTTTTTTTGTCTGTCTGTCTGTTTGTTGCGGGCAATCTTCTAAACAGCTGGACCGATTTCGACAATATTTTACTACCTACATAAGGAATGACTTCTCTTCCCAGAAAAACCCTTTCAAATTTTACCCGGTCCGAGCATCGAACCCACTAAGGCAGCGCTTTTCAAATTCGCGGGTACACATGAAATTAACATCAAATATTTATGGCTGCGGGTACTCAGTGCTTTAAATCAATTTCTAAGTTGACGCAATCAAAATATACGGCCATTTAACTGCACGGCCAATTAACATTTGACTGCACGGATGGCGTAGTGGTTTAAGCGGTCACCTCGCCGCTTACCACTACGCAGAGTGTTGTGAGACCGATCCCTACATGGGACGACACTTTGTGTGATCCACAAATTGTTGTTCTGAGTCTGGGTGTTCTGTGTGTCCGTTTCATGTATGTTTGTAAAGTCCCCCGTGACACAGGATATATTCCTAATGCGGAAGTTGTCTTTTCAAAAAAAAAAACAAATTAAGGCATATATTTTACACCAATTTGAATATTTTAGAGATAAATCAGAACCTTGGGTACTTCCCATTGCCAAGAATCATGAAATTTGGTAAAAAGTAAGTTCTCACAACACAATTAAATAACAACATCTGAAAGTCGTTAATTTGTTGTTCTGCGAATTTTGCAAAAAAAATATGATTACAAACTTTATGTTACACTTGGAAAATTGGCTGCAGCGTTCATTGATGTTTAGGAGATTATCTTAGGACTAGTCCCAGAGGGCAAAAACCGTCAAGGATTCCTGAGATGTATGAACTATCTACATCCATATTTATTTGTCTACGGAACCTGCAGTCCGGGAGTCGAACTCGCATTTGTCCAGGTTATTTATTTTTCATTTTAAGCCTTACTAAGAACCTACTGACTGACACTTAAGTTCTTATCGTTTTTGTATTGTTTAAACTCCATGTTGAGTAACAATTAGTCATTGATTACCTATTGCGTTTTTAAGAATGCCTTTGTTATCCGGTGCAACCATCGCGCGACGTGGGCCTTCGAGCCCAGCACGCTCGCATTCATAATAATCGACACTGTAAATGAAACTACCTGGAAACTGATATAACGATGTATGATATAGCAGCAACTAGAAGCAAAACAACTAATAGTAGAATAAACGCCATGTTTGCCGCATGTTAATACACAAGCGGAAATCCTGCAGTTTTTTTTTATCCTGTCGCGAATGTCTCCTGTCGCGGGGGACTTTACAAACATACATGAAACGGACACAAAGAATACCCAGACTCTGAACTACAATTTGTGGATCACACAAAGTGTCGTCCCATGTGAGGATCGGACCCACAACAATCAGCGTAGTTGGAAGCGACGTGGCGACAGCTTACACCACTACGCCAAAAAAAACCGTCTAAATTGGTTCAGCGGTTTAAGAGTGAAGAGGTAGCAGACAGACAGAAAGACAGACACACTACTTTCGCATTTATAATATTAGTATGGATTCCCGCGGTTTTCCTCATGTTAATAACGCAAGCGAAAATTCTGCAGCTGTACGTGTTAAAACAACTACAATATAAAATTTCATATTTTTATATAGAAATATACTTTTAAAATCTCCAGCCGAATCTCGATAAAAAGGCGAATTTGCAGTGATGGTAAGTTAGTCACCGCCCATGGACACCTGTAACTCCTGAGACACAAATGCGTTGTCGCCCTTTATGCGTGGGGGAGCCCCCCCCCCCTCCTCTTTAGAACTAAAAGTGGAGGAGGGGTGGTTGTTAAACTCACTAACTCGGGGAAAAGCAGCAAGAGGATTGCTTATCAACGGTTTTTAGAGGCTGTGGTATCACTGCGGTCGAGCTGGCTCAAAAATGCCGAAGCATTCTCTTTGCTTAAATTCTTGGACATACATTGAGATCACATCTATACATATCATCTGTCCATATAAATGGATTTAAATTCAATAATCGTGATATCCTTTGGTTAATATTTTATATCCGCAACTGGTCTTCAATCATGATCCCAGTTCTAAACTAGTTTAAGGTCAAATTCATGTTGCATTTGTTATTATTAGATTAGAGCTAGTTCAATTGTCTTGATACCACACGCACTATCTTTATACACCAATGAACAATACTGCTTGAATTATAAGTTCTTCAAAAAGAGTTAATTACATTGTACTTTTATGCTTGTTACATCAAAACTGTCCGTTATGTACTGATATTGATCTTTCTTATCTAAAACATCTAGTGCCTCCGCACTAGATGTTTTAGATGGTCATACCGGCTGAAGACGTGGCGACGCGTCGCCGCGGAATGCGTTACCACGTTATATGTAACATGTAAGGCAGTGTGTTTTTAAATAATTTCGTCGTTAAAATACGTAATGTCACCATCCCTTTTCATCCCGTGGGTGTCGTAAAAGTCGACTAAGGGAGAAAACTTCGCAAGACAACACTGCAAAGAGAAGGAAAACTTGAAACAAGGGTTTGTTTATACCAATCCGTCTGGCAAGCGTGGTATAGTAGGCCAAAACCTCCTTTCTAAGGAGAGGCCTACGAGGGGTGATCAATAAGTAATGATAATCAATATGAAACAGAACTATTAGATTAAAAAAAGTATTTTATTTTTCAACATAGTCTCCTTGCAAGTTAATACATTTAGTGTATCTTTTTTCTAAGCCCATGATTCCCTTAGAAAAAAATTCTTTGTCTTGACCCTCCCAAAATGCCTCTACTGCGGCCATCACTTCACTATTGTCCTCAAATTTGTTGCCCCGGAGGTGTTCTTTGAGCCGAGGAAAGAGGTAGAAGTCACTGGGAGCTAGATCTGGCGAATAGGGAGGGTGTTCGAGCAGTTCGAACCCCGTTTCTTCAATGGCAGCCATCGCAACTGCGGCTTTGTGAGCCGGGGCGTTGTCTTGGTGAAACAGCACTCCAGCGCGCAGTTTACCGCGTCTTTTTGACTTAATAGCTTCTCGCAATCTTCTTATTTGGCCTGCGTAGTAAGAGCCTGTTATAGTGGCCCCCTTTTCCAAATATTCCACCATAATAATTCCTTCTGCATCCCAGAAAACAGACGCCATAACCTTTCCCGCTGAACTTGACACTTTGAATTTCTTCGGCGTTGGTGAGGAAGCTCGTTTCCAAGTCATTGATTGTTGTTTGGTTTCGGGATCAAAGTGGTGGAGCCAGGTCTCGTCCATGGTCACAAAACGCGACAAAAAAAATTCTTTATCGGCCTGGAACTTTTGAAGATTCACCCTCGAAATGTCGACTCGTTTCTTTTTTTGCTCGTCGGTTAACATTCTCGGTACCCAACGCGCAGAGACCTTTTTCATATGCATTTTGTTGACAATGATTTTTTGAACGCTGCCATAGGAGATCCCTGTGACCTCAGCTACATGCCTTACGGTCACCCTTCGATCGGCCAACACGATATCTTCCACTTTTTTGACGTTTTCTCCAGTAAGGGACGTGGAAGGGCGTCCCTCGCGATGTTCATCTTCAGTGGAGGTTCTGCCCAGCTTAAATTCCTTTGCCCAGCGTGCGACTGTGGAATATGGAGGAGCAGACTCCCCCAATGTTTCCTCTAAGTCGCTGTGTATGTCTTTGGTAGACATTTTTTTCAGGCAGAGGTACTTGATGACAGCTCTTATTTCATTTTTCTCCATTTTGATGTTTTCTCTTCGACAGTTCGTATTCAAATGAATGTATCTCCCGGTAATGGTGTCCTATTTATACATTTTTTTGAAGCTGAAGTAGTGGATATATAAGCAAGCAGAAAAATAATAATTTGGGTTTTTGTATGTCCAGCAGTGGACTATTATCGGCTGTTGATGATGTGATGTGAAATAATTTCGATGTTTAACATCAGTCAGACATCTCGCGACGCCCAATGTTGGTGGTTTGGTAGGTACTTGCAGTTCAATCCCATTCAAATACAAAGAAAATTTCTGTCTTTTAAGGTGGAAAATTAAAAAATTAAGAATAAAGTTAGTTACAATTTATCGCGATGAAGGCTCATTTAAGTCGGTGATACTTTTTTTTAAGTAAATTATCAATAACAAGACAAAATAAACAAGGCATAAAGGACATTTATTAAAACTTATTTCGACAATACATTAAGGCCAGCATTTATGCTAATTATGACAAAATGTAATGACTCTTGACGAAGTAAACATACATTTAAGAAAGGATAATTTGTTATCTGTAGAGTGACATTTAAGGATGCCATTTTAATCTGTTCATTTCGGTTACGCGGGAAATGCTTAGTACTATTTTTTTAATGTTGTTTCTAAATCACTTATTGTGACTTGTAAATACATTATGTTTGGAGATAGATATATTTGGTTACATTAAAATGTATGCTCATTCTTACTATTGGTATTTAGACGCATTGAATAGGGTAGAGATGAATCTCAAGTCAAATCAGTGTCTTTTTACGAAATGTCAAAACGATAGACGGGTTCTATTGGAAGGAAATACTATGACGTGACATCATTCCCGGCTTTTGTCAAATCGTCTATATTAAATGTTGATTAGAAGATATCAAAATAATAAAACATTAAATTTATAATAGAGGAATATTCCTGGCTGTAATTACATAGGAATCAACCCTATTGGGTAATACTTTTTAAAAAGTTAATAATATATTTATATGATAATCAACTATTTTATTGATTAATAAATTTTGGATCGAAAGAAGTGCGTTCAATATTTTTTTCGTTGTTAGCTGCATATTGGGGTGAGATAATTATGTAAATAATGTGATTGCTGCTTGAGTATTACTATAGATACATAAAAAAGTATAAATGCGAAACTGTGTCTGTCTGTTACCTCTTCACGCTTAAACCCCTGAACCGAATTAGATGAAATTTGGTATAGAGATACTTTCAGTCCCGGGAAAGGACATAGGATAATTTTTATTCCAGAAATCATCCTTTAAGGGGTGAAAAGGATTGTGAAAGTTTTTATCGTGAATCAATAACCGATAAACCGATTTTGATGAAATTTGGTACAGAGATAGTTTGATTGTCAAGGAAGGACATAGGTTTCGACGACGACAACACAACCGACATAACTGTGGGCCAAAGCTAGTATTAAAATTTCATTTTTATTTTACTACATTCATAACTTCTATCGGATTACCTGTAAAAATGATTACAAGGATTTTTGGCAAGGCCCTTTTTTGTTGTTATATGGACGGTTCGATTTAGATAACTTAAAATAAACCATGATATAATTTAATTTTATTGTTACAAATACTTCACATATAAAAAAAATACGTTTTTTTATGCTTTAAGGGCAAACGAGATGACGGGTCACGATCACCTGATGGTAAGTCACTACTGCCGTCAATAGCACTTCAAGAAATAAATGCACTGCCGTCCTTTGAGTGTCTTGAGGCCCGGGGATTAGGTTCCTAGGGAAGAAGCTAGCAGAGGGCCAAGTGCGAGTTTATTTCACTTCTAATCGATCGTCACGGTGACCGCGTGCGGCGCTACGATTGGCCCGCACTGAAATCTCCACCAATCGCAACGCTAAACGCGCTCACCTTCGAGAGTGAGTCGATTTGAAATAAACTTGCACTCGGCCCTCAGAACACGATTACACAAGATTTTTTATTAAAAACATCAAGTTCAATGGTGAAAAACCCTCACTCACTCGGTGAAAAACAACAAAATACATGCTTTACACCAGTTTTCTATGAGGTTGTGGTATCAGTCTGGTCGAGCCGGTCCATTTGTGCTCTCTCGCCGCACAAAACAGCGTATAAGAAAAGAAGAATGTTCCAAATCGGTTCAGGCGTCTTCGAGTTATCGGTGAACATACATAAAAAAAAGTGAACCTCCTCTTTTCTTGAAGTCGGTTAGAAGCATTGTCGGTAACTTTTTTTTTTAATCCGAAATTTTCAACAACTAATTTACAAAAGATTTTTTTATGAATAAACTGCCTTCGTGAATTACTCTATCCAATGGCAAATATCGTTTGAAAAACGTTCCGTAACTTTTTGGGTCTTAGAATTCACTTTCAATTTTGATAATGTATTATGTAATGCCTTATAGTTGAAAAAATATTAAAATCAATATTAATAAACTTAGTAAGTATTTCTAGAGAGAGGGAGAGGAGGGGGAGGGAGAGTGAGAGGGGGGAGTGAGAGAGGGGGCAGGGAGTAAAAGAGAGTAAGAAGGCGATGGAGTGAGAGGGATAGAAGGAGGAGGGAGTAAGGAGTGAGAGAGAAGGTGGAGGGAGTGAGAGAGGGGGCTGAGAGAGAGAGAGAGAGATAGAGAGAAACCTAGTGGGCCTGAACAGGGAAGGGGATAGGTCTGTGATGGTTGATGAAAGTCACATTTTGGGTAGGATTTCCCTAAAATCTGTTCTTAATGAGCGTCTACATTCCGGTATGTTGATCAATATATTATTATAATTTGGGGGAGGACCCGGAATATGTTATTTTAGGCCCCTCCCGGATCGACGCCGCGCCTTGCCAAGCTCTGTCCCGGGGAAAGCAGGCTTCCCCACACCTATCGGCCTTATCAATATGTGTTGTGGTACGATCTAAATTATTTCTTAATATTAAATTACAGTGTTCTAAGCGCAGCAGTATCAGCTAGTATATTATATATGCTTAATTAATGTGATGGTGATGAAATATTTAAAATATAGTTACCCAAGTCACTGCCTTGTAGTATATTTAGGTAGAACAGTTCTGGTTTCAACAAGCGGAGTAGAGAAATCACAAATGCCGTGGCTGCTGAAATCTGTTGAACAAGAAATAAATTACTATGAGTGCCAAATAGACACTCTATGGAGGAAAAATACATTGTATGATATTAACTGGTCATAAGCCGCGATATGCTACACTGTAAAGTGCCTGTACTGGTAGGTGCTATCCAGTGCAGCGGTAAGGACTTAAGAGGTTTTTTTTTTATGGTATAAGGGATCAAAGGAGCAGTCGGGTCACCTGGTAGAAAGTAAGTACCGACAACCAATTATAGTATTCTATTGTCACAAAGAGAGGATTAATGATTTATTTATTTATTTGATATAAGAAAGTGCAGTGCCCTGTAATATACATATTGGTCAAATATATAAATATATAATAATTAAGACAACAGCACTGCAGAGAGAAGGAAAACTTGACACAAACCCTATACCAACCCGTCTGGCCAGCGTGGTATAGTAGGCCAAAACCTCCTTTCTAAAGCTGTTGATGATGATGATATAATAATAATAATTATTATTAAATATTTATTAAGCCCAAAATCGATCTAAGTGGTGTGTGGAAAGGCCTATGGCCTATGTGGATTGTGTTAGGCTAATGATGATTTATTATTTAATTATTATTAAATAATAATAATCATTATTCAGGTATCTTAGATCTTATAAACTGTTTCGCATTTAAAATTTTAAAAGAATAAAAAAGAAAAGAAATTATGTATCAATATATATATATATTTTTATACCTTTTTTAAGTACATAAATTCAAGTTTTCAGCTTGTTTTATACATACAATATATTGCTGGTAGATGTTGTAAATGTTTATATATATGTAGATACGTTAATTAAAAAATACGAAACAAGTTAAAAAAAAAACTTTATGCTTAAACCTAAACAACAACTTGTTGTTTAGAAAAAATACTTAACTTAATGATAAAATATATTTATTTGATTGTTGTTTAACTGTTTTAAACCACGTTATTTAATACACAACTTATAATACCAACGTGTAATATAATATAATATTTATCAATAAGAACAACGCAGATTTCTACTCTTTTTAACGCATGGAGGGTATATACTTTATTTTGATTTTAAAACGCATTAACAAATTAATTTACACTTATCTTATCATATTTTTTATATTAATGTAAAATACTTTATTATTAATTGTAGATAAAAATATTACGGAACAATAAAAACATTATTTACTTACAGAAAACACAGCGGCAACGACCCGTACGTAGACTTTGAGGTCAAACATAGGCATTGTTTTGGACTGTGTTGACATCGAGAATTATATCCACGCTTAATTGAACTAATCAAACCACATTGACTGACATCACCAAGGTAAAATAATCGAAAATCGATTTTTAATTCGGCTTCGCAATCCGTATTTCCGCGCTCCTGTTTTCCGCAACTCGTTTTACGAATTGTCAGAATTAAACTGTGCGTCAGTGCTGCCAACAGTTAAATGAACTTTCCACCTGATTCAACATCTGAAACCACCAGAAAACCACTAAAGAAAAATGACCCTAATAAGTACTAGGCACTAAGTTTCCCACTAAACATTTTTTTTGTAATTACGAAAGACCTTTCTAAGGAGAGGCCTATATCCAGCAGTGGACCATTAGAGGATGTTGATGATGATGATGATGAAAGAAAACCATTACTATATTAATAACTATTATTATTACATATTACTATTAAACCACTAAAAAAATCCACTAGCCACTAAAAGCAAAATTTAGCCATAAAAGGGGGGTTGAAACCACCAGTTTTAGTGGAAAATCCACTAGGTTGGCAGCACTGCTGTGCGTGTTTCAAAATCTTCCAACGTCACAGTGACAAAGTTGTGAGGAACGTAAATTGAAACGTTTGGTGTGCTACGTTTATGTTGCACTTCGTTTTATTTTGTGAAAACATAAAACAATAATGCATAAAACAATGAAATATATAAAGATTAAATGAGATTGAACCTTCATAATATAAATAAATTGAAATTTATCTACAGTGTGTTAAGTTAGTAGCGACATCTTTGAAAATCTTATTAAATGTACGCACGAAGTTGTAGTTGGTAATTTGTTAGTACTTCAACTAGATGGCATCCACTGCTCAAAACATTTCATTGCACACTTTGTTCTTTTTTTTCGCTTTTTCCCAGGGATTCCTTTTTTGAATTGATAAGCTCTATTATCTCTGATAAGTTTTCACTATAGCATATATTTTTTAAACGTAGATAACCTACCTAACGTAGAAAACAGAAGTTTAACTGAAAGCAAATAATGAAAAAATATATTTGCATCTCATAAAATGTATGTCAATCACAAGAATCTAAAGAGGTTTATGGTTATGTTGAAAAACTTTAATCTACCTGCATTACCTATAAAAACTGTAATCTTTACTGCGACTGCCTGTACAGGTAATTTATCTGTGACTGATTTCAGTTTCAAGATTTTGTTTGAGGTGAGAGTAACCCTACATTTTAAACAAGTTTCCGGCATGTTTCTTAAATTAGGATTATACTTAAAGTACCCTCTATTAGATAAACAGCGCGGAATTGTGCCATTAAGGTTAAAAAAGAAATTAAATTAGTGGACCTAAATTAAGTTTGACACAAACTTCAGTGCCAACCAAATGCTGACATGACCGATATACCGTACACATCGGACTGCGTTAGTGACTGTTAATATTTATATAATCCCAACCCCCAAGCCTGTCGGCCCCAGAAAGAAACGGTAGCCGTGTCTCGTATGCGTACAGCTCCCCTATAATAATTTGTTTTGTGCATTGGAGCTGGATTCAAAAAGTGTCATCCGTGCCCATTGCACAAATTAAAAAACAACAATAAAATAATAAAATTACGAACGAAATCCACAACTAATTTCATTGTAATCATTAATATTCATTTATAGTATAAATTAAAATTACCCTAAGCAAATGCACGTCCGTCATATTGTACGATTGTTGATAAGCGTGTAAAAGCTTTCAAGAGTTTTTAATTGCCGCCATTTAATATGTACACCAATGACGAGTGTTGACATCTATGACTAATGGAAAAGTTCTATTGAAGACTAAAAAATATCTAGTGTTATTTTAAGAGATTTATATCTTATAACTAATTGTGAAATGCATTTTTTTGATTAGGTACATATATTTAACACTTTATTTACCTTTCGGAATGTATAACTAACTTTTATTACTACTAAACTACTATTAAGTTCTGCTACAAAAAAAAACAATATTAACACTTTTGTTGAGTCCTATGTATATTATACAACTATCATTTTATCTTGCAAAATATACCGATATTCTTAATAACCCACGTGCCACTAAAATCTACGTATACGAGAATATTTTACCTATTAGGTAGGTACAAGGGACGTAGAATAATTTAGAGAAATAAAGTAGGCCGTATCCTGACTTAAAAACATTGCACCACAGATTACTAAGTATGTTCAGTATGAAAAATTACACAATGCGATTCAAACAAAAGATTTCTGTATGTTCAGATCTTCTGGTTCAGGTTGCGTCGTTCTGATTTATTTATTTATTAGGTTAACTCACAACACTGAACACATATATGTAACATTTATGGTAAAATCCAAGTAATAAGATTCTGATATACAAGCCACTTACGAGCTAACACAGCATTCACAGTTTAGACAACGTATTAACAAAATCACATTGATATATAGGTATTAAAAACTTAACACTATTGGTTTGATTGACTGGGATTTTGTATTATTAACATTTCTTGTTGAAGATGAAGACAGGGTAAACACAAACTGATATATTGAAGCAAAAACAATTCTTGGTACATTATTTGTGGAGAACACGAGAGACATTCAGTGTGAGTCAAGACGAGCGTGCTTCCTCCTTTGCCCATGCGCCCAGCCCAGGTTGCACCCCATTGTCGACAACACCGCCACATCCGCTTTAAACCTTATTTTAATTTAGTTTGGCTGTCATGCGCCAAGACGTGGCAATAATTGCATCGAACAAGTAAAAAAATAATAATATGAATTCTAAACGCATTCAAATATGGATAAAAAGACCTTGATCAGAAATCAAATCCTTTATCAAGCCGTACCGTGTCGCGAAGTCCGCCAGTCGCCGTCCACCTTACGTTGCGCCATCTCGAACAGTAGCCGTGTAACCAACTATAACATAGAAAGGAAATCCCTGATACCCCAACGGGCCTGAGTCATTTATGGCTTACAGATGGTCTCCTGATGTGTAGTGACCACGGCTTCTTCTCCCTGCCCCTAAAGGCGCTACGGAGCTCGTCGCGTCGCCACCTGTCACCCCCAGGCCCGGCACTTATGAAGGACGGAGATCATTCAGCAACCACCAGGGCTTAAACCGCCTGCAGTACCGGTCCGTTGCCGGGCCTGGTGAGCCGGGAGAGGGTTCTTAGCCCCTCCCGGTCCCACTTCGACCCGCACGAGGATTTAGTCGCTTCGTACCATGGCCACAATCAGTCACGAGGTCATGCCTCTGTCCCATACACATCGGGAATTCTAGCAGCGGTTAAAGCGTCATGAATACGCTCTGGCCATCGTAGTGGATGCACCCGGGCGTTGGCTCTTTGCGGATCAGACACAGGTGACCTACAAAGCATCCTTTGCGTAAGTCGGTATCAGAGGGTCCCTGTTTCCCATCGAGCCAATCCTCAATTAAGCCCCCCCCATAATTTCGCGATTCTAAAGCCCATAAACATTTGCATTTATTTTCGTACACCGATCAACAGATGTTACTATGATGAAATAAAAATACAATTAGCCAATTATGAAATTATGTTTTTGTAAAAGCAGGTGTTTTTGTTACAAGGGCGTAAGTGTGATTTATATTCAAAAGAAAAGAGCACATTTTAGTGATGAATCCATCAACTATAAAGTTCTTAGTTTTAGCTCGAAAATTCAATAAGTATTTAGAAATCAATCAATAGATACTTTTGTGAAAATGAAAATAAAGTGAAGTGTAAATTCACAACTCACTTATCAAAAGCCTTTTTTTAGCAAAAAGACGGTTATTCGACGAAAAAAGAAATAAAATCGACTTGACATTCAATGTAAACTAATTTGAAATATGAACTCGCAGTTTAGTGAAGGGGCGTACGAATAATGCGCGACGTACGTCCAATCATTAGTTTCCATTCATCGAATAACCACTCGATTCGATTATACAGTTTCAATTCCAATTTATGTAATTATAAATTTACGACTTGTTGGTTGTTATAAATTTCGTTGATTTCTCCGTTGCATATTCTATTTTAATTTCAGATAATATATCTGATTTATTATTTGGTTACATCTGGTATATTTACGACTACATTTATGCACTTGTAATTATGGAATTTACATTTAATAAATTTACTACTTGATGTAGATGATGGGTCCATTTTAAAAAGACCAAGAAGCTTAAAACTAACTGTCGTGATCATCATTTACAACTTTTTATTTCCAAATTAATAAAGTTTTGTTTACACTAAACGTTTTGTATAAACTGCACAGGTAAATCTAAAATCTAAAATTAAATATAGTTTTTTTTAATGTATATTTTAAGGACAGTGTTAGATACACGACACAGATAAAAAAGGATTGTTTATGTACTTTTATGGTACAGAAATGAAACTTTTTTAGGACAGTATTAGTTAGAATGTTGCATTATCAACCGTAGACAAATAATAATAATAATTTGGTACTGAATTAATGCAGAACTATTAATAATAATATTTTTGCATGAACAACGAAGACTATAAGTATATTATGTTGTTTTAAGACTGACCAACAACACTGGACAATTAATTCAATTTCATTGAAGTGTAATTATTACGCAAAAGACAATTACAGCGCCCTTTGGCCGTTAGCCATGTCGCCTGTGTTTTCTCTGACCACTTGTTTGAGTAAAATTTCACTGTGGTCATTCTTTTTGTAAAGTGTCACCGAAATACAACATTAGCCGTAGTAAAATGGACCTTATGCAGTAGAGCGAAGTGCTCTATGTGTAGAGTTATATCAATAAGTCCGCCCCATTCCGGTGGTTAATTGTTAGGCAATAAAACGGTATGGTCAGTGTATCATGATGAGGGACAATGCAATCTACTTTATTAAATAATAATGTCAGACACATACAATGCGATTGTAATAGGTTTGAGTGATTTTGATACTAGTTTTAAATATTCATTTATTTATTTATTATATACTGACTGCACGGATGGCGCAGTGGTTTAAGCGGTCGCCTCGCCGCTTCCTACTACTTTGTGTG